CCTAAGTTAAGTTTTCAGGGTGTGGTTGTGGATAGGCATAAAGTGCTGATTGAAAGCTTACCTTATTCTACCAGCTGTAGCTTACTTAATGTGACAAATACCATGCTAGCTGGAGGAATGATCTAACTTAATGCAGAGGAAAAAGGAGATGATGATTTGTGCTAATACGAAGATTTTCCCAATTGAGTGGGTTTTGTGGGGTAGTTTTCTTATTCCTTTTACTATATTTTCTTCTGAATGAGGTTTTAATTTTCCTGACAAATATATCAGTCTAGTTGAATATTATCAGCAAGTCTTTGTCCTGTTGTGACCTACTTGGCTCTGTTGTGACTGAGAATCCTTGAGAGGCTTGAACAATGGTTTAGAAAGATGCTAACCATAAAGTTACCTGCTCTGGTACTTGTTTCCTTTTTTTAGTGTAATACAGACATAGTGGTCTGCTGTTGTTGGAGCAGACCTCAGCTCTCAGAATTTTCAGATCCCTGCCTAGCATGAAAGTTTTAAACATTGGGTTTCACAAGGCATACACTATTATCTTTTCACATTACAAAATAGCATATGCAAAAACAATGTTAGGCAGTATCCACTTTTCTTTTTTCTGTTTTAAGACCCCCAAATGTTTGCTGTACTTCTCAGTCAGAAGTGTGAAGCTGAGCACTTTTCACTGCACGGTCACTTCTCGGTAGCAGTGAGAGATGCTGGTACTGCAGCTGGTGGCAGTAGATCTGCAGTACAGAACAGCAGAAAAGATGAACTGCATTTTTAGTTTGTATAGACTTACAAGTGGAGAGTTGCTTCAAACAAACAGATCTTGTATACTTCTTAGCAGGTGCCTGCTAATTTTCAAGCTTCCCACTTGGGTATCAGCTCTTGAAAAGTTCATGTTCAGTCACCTCAATTCTATCTTGAAACTTAAGGAATGGTAGAGCTTTTAAACTGTCTTTCTGACTGAATTGGGACATGCATTGTGGTTGAGGTAGATAACAGATAAGTCTACAGCCTTTAGTAAGGTTTCCTCTTGAGGGATGGAAAAGTGGAGCCATTTTTCGGTTCTAGAGATTGTTCTAGAGATTATTCTTGAGATCAACAGCTGATGGTGGCATAAACAGGGTCAGGTTGGGCTGCTGCAGATGGTTTACTGGGGTTTTGAGAGGGTCACAATAGGTGGTATCTTTTATTTTTTTTAACCATGTACTACTTGTATTTCTTACTTCCTTTATTAAGGAGTCTTACTGATCTGTGCTGCCCTAGTGAAAAGTCTTTCCATTTGGCTTAGTGTTTGACCATGTGTTCCCCAAAACTCAGCTTTACTTGAGCTTTTCCCATTGATTTCTTTGCCTGACTAGTTTATTTTAGCTGTGAGGACTGCTGGGATGACTGCTTCAGCGTAACGAAGAAAATCACACAGTATTATCATAGCTGAAGTAGTGATAACTTCATGGCTGCAAAATACAAGTTCAGCTGAAACAGTCAGCTCATAAAATCATATTTTGTAAAATACTTGGCTTACTCCAGGGCTGGGGAAACTTTATCAGATCTCTGTTGGTGAGAAGAGTACACTTACTAGCCACAGCTCTGGGGCAGGGATAGAGATTGTTTAGAGTCCTCTGGAGATTGTATTTGACTCTTTCTAATATATGCACTGTGTTTCAAGTTTCTGGTGTCCTAAGAGTGTCCTTATGAAAACTGGTGTTTTTTTTCTAGAAACTCAGATTCTAGAAACAACCAGTTGTATGAAGCCTTGGGGTTGGCGGAGGAGGAAAAGAGGTACCTGTGGAGTGTGTATATGTATCTCTTCTTTTGAATTTCTGTCTAGATTTATATGTGACCCTAAGTGTTGCACTCTCTTGTCCCAAGAACCAGGAAAATTACCCAAAATCTTTGCGCTTTAACTCAGTTGCATGATTTTTTTTTTTTTTTTTTTTTTTTTAGGTCTGAATTCTTGGGAGTGGAAATGCTGCAAAAGTGCAGTCTTTCCCCTTTCAGCTTTTTCCCCTGTGGAGGGAGAATGAATTCTTTTCTCTCTGCTGTTCTCTAACTCAAAGAACTTGGTCTTTGGGAGAATAAAAAGAAAATGGTTCTGCCTTGTAGCTCTTCCCTTTTACTTTGGGAGAGTCAATCTTACTTAGGCATCGTATCAGAGCGTACGAGAACAGTGCTCTCTAATTTTTCAAAGTAGCAGCAGAATGGCTCTTGTTAGGTTCACTCTTGCCCAACAAGTTTTGAATAGTGAATCTGACAAGAATTGTATTGTTTTTAGTTCTACTGCTCTGGAAAGCTGTGAGCCAAGGGAAAGATGCTGGCGTGGTATATACAGTAAAACAGCATGGGGTTAGTTCTCCTTTGCAAGGCTGTCTGCACTGCTGAGATGTTTGCTACTGAATATAGTATTATTATTATATTTTAAAGCTTATGTATGAATTAGCACACACACCTCTCCCGTCTGCCAGGAGAAGGCTTTCTCTTATCTGTGTGGAGCAAGTAGAATCTTAAAGCCCTGAATTATTCTCTCATTTAGTTCCATAATCAAATACAGTAGAATGCATTGAAGACAAATATCCCAGAGGAAATTTGATTTGCTTTTTTAAGCCATGAAAACAATTTGGTCACTCTGTTCTCAGATTTGTAGCTGTCATACAACAGCATATCCTGTTTTGGTCTGATCTATACTTTCGCACATTGCAGTGCAGCTTTTCTTGCCCATGTTGTGCAAGCATTACTGGCTTTCAGAACTGAAGCTGGTGTAAAGATGCTTGAAACACTTCAGCTACCTACCTAACATCTTTTTGTTTTGTTTTGTTTTTGTTTTGTTTACCTTTTTCTGACAGTAGAAGAAAATGAAACAGAGGACCAGCAGGCAGGTGTGGGACATACAGCCGCACAGACTGGTAATGCTGAATTCCTTCATTAGTGCTTGCTTACTGTTTGACAACAGTGTGAGGGATCTTTGTGTCGGGGTGTTTTTGCAAAACCTGCACTCTTCTTTCTCTCGTTCAGCATAGAATGTGTTCTTGGGCTTGCAATGGAAAATAACATTTCTCTATGCTCACCTTTCAAATCCTGAGAATTAGAAATTCTGTCTTTTGTCGATCGGGCAAATGAAAGGGAAATGCTTCTAAAGTGCAGCATGCTTTTCTTATTTTTCTTCTCTTTTTAGTTAAAAATAATCCTTCTCTATATCCCCCATGTAAAACCCCATCCTACGCCAGTTCTGATAAATGCTCATTCTAGTGAGCATTTTCGTATTTGTAAGATACGTGGATAAGGGTAATTTCTTTTAGGATTGTTTGTATAATTTCTTTCTTACCAGTCAGGGATTAATTAACATGGTTCTGAGAAAGCAAAAAGTACTTTGTAAAAGCACCAAAAAGTCTTTGGTACTGATTCCACAGAATTTTATCTGAAGAGCAGGACTGACTCATCTGAATGGTCTCATTCATTCAGCTGAGGTACCTTTTGGAGTTAGGGCTGACTCCTTAAGGGTATTCCTAGAAGGCCATTCATCTCTAAATACACGCAGGTAATTTGTTTGAGAACAGTTGGAGTTATTCCTCTTATGAAGGTGAAGAATGCACTTAATTCTTTCTTCAGCTAGAAGACTTTGTATTTCTCTTTCGTGCATGTCCTGTGAGTTTGTGTTTGGTGCCTTTTTTACGTTCTGGTGGCTTTTCTCATAAACTATATTGTTTGAAAAGAGGAAACGAGAGAGAGAGCACTCTTGTTTTTTTTAAATGGGAGATTTCTCAAACTGTTCCAAATGTACTTATGCCTCCATTCAGCTATCTGCAAACTTGAAAAAAAAAAAGCAAACTTGTGCAGCTGTAGACACATGGAGTGAAAAATAGAGGACCTCAAAATTGGAGATCAATATGACAAGGAATGGTTGCTTTTCTGCGTTTTTGTCTTAAAATAATTCTTAATGGTTAAGTTGTCTTGCTGGTTATTTATTTCCCATCATGTCCTGTGTTGTTCTCTGTTTCTAGGCAAGATTTAACATTTTGTTTTTTCTCTATAGCAAGAATGCAGTGCTGATATAAAAAACAAAAAACCTTCTGATAAAGCAAGCAGTGCAGAAGGCCCACACTGTGTACACACTGCCAGAAGTTTTTATAGTAATACTTTGTATCTAAGCTCTGGCTCTAACCATTAAATGTGCTTTTTATAGAGTACCAAGTTATAATGTAGTGCAGCTACGGCATATTAATCTTACTGCAGAGATTTAATGAGGCAGTTGTTTTGCGATGGACACTATTGGGAGCAGAGAGCGACAGAGTTTTACTTTACCACTGAGCTGAAGAAATATTCTTTGCCTGGTAATAATTATAACCACATGATCTAAGTTTTCCTTTCTTTTGCCAGCACTTTTCCATGCCGAAGTGGCTTGGAAGGAAGTCCTACTGCAAGGCAGTGAAATGGATTGGAAAGGAGGCTGTTTTCTTGGTAGTTTGATGTTTTAGTTGTGATTAGCTATGGATCCTTGTAGCATAGGCAGAAATATGTAAGATGAGTTTCAAGAGTACAGATAGCCTTTGCCAGTCCACTGAGATGACTTTTAGATATTCATTACTTTTACTTGACTTTTATATGGGTTATAAAAAGTAAATGTGGTGAAACCTCATTTTTACATGGGCAGAATAGAATTTCTGCTGGTTGGCCTTAAACCGCTCCCATACTTGAAATTAATTGAAGTCCATGGCTTTATTGCCTCCAACACTTTTAAGCCAATGCAATTTTTCATTTTCCCCAAAGTTGCAGTTTTATTAGACCAAGTTATAGCAATAACCTCCCTTATGAGGAGGAGGAAGAAGGAAAGAGAAGAACCACCTGCCAGGGAACATAGTAATGAGAAAATCATGTTTCTTTTAATTTCCATTTATAAATAATGTTAACGTAATCAGTAACAGAAGACAACTGTTCTTTGTATTCTTGAGTTCTTTTTTATTTTATTCTTTTTTAAAGCAACTTAATAGTTTGAATTTTTTTATGTCCCCAAAAAGCAACCCTCCTTTCCATACCAGATAATTTTCAGTGATCTCTGCAGACGGAGCTGATGTATATATTGTTGCTGACATGTATTGTCAAATTTCAGTTTGTGCACAGCCTCTGAAATAGGGCAGGAAAACCTCTGGAAGTGACAGTGGCGTTTGCAGATGTTAGGAAAGGTAATCTTACTATGAAGACAGTCTTTGTTGAGGGAATTGTAGCTGTGATTGTTGCAGTTATCAGGAAGAAAGAAATGTGGGAGATGAATGACATTTGCTCCTGTATGCGATCATGAGCTTTGAACAGGAAGTTAAGGAGAAAGTATAGGTGAGTGCATATTGCATTTATAAAGTAAGTTTTAGTCTAATCTTTCAAAAGAGCAGCTCGAACAAGACAGCTTATCCTCAGTTTAAGTAACTGTTTAAGGTTAGACCAGCTCTTCATGGAGGATACTTGTTTTTGTGATGGAAAAGCTATCCATTTACAAAGTGTTCAAATGATATGTTCTCCCTTTAAATATATTTTTATTTTGATGGTGACATCTCTTCACGGAAGTGGATCACAGTGGAAGTACATTCATTAAGAGGGGCTGAGACTGCCAGAACTCATTTCACAAAAGCTGTCATAGGCTAAACTCAAACCTAGGTCCCAGAGGGTCCCACTTAAGTGTTGACCTAAAAACAAATGTGCCAGTTGGCTAGAGCGTGTATTCTAAAGTTGCAGCAGAAGGGAATAAGCTTGACTGACTTCTGTCCCTGCAGAGTTTATATCTGCAAATGCAGAAGGAGAAGCAAAACATTTATTAGTCTTAAAATGATTCTAATTTTAATAACTGGTCTCTAAGTATGAAGCTTTAAATCAAGCAATTCTTTAGGCTTTTGTGCACTAAGGAGTGCATGTGTGCCTATGTACGTGTGTGTGCATTGCTGAATTCCTGTAAAATATGTTTCTGAATAATAAGTCTTGAGAATTCCCTCCCCTCCTTTTTCTTTTCTTCATCACTGTACTTAGAGCAGAGACAGACACTACCCTTATTTTAAAACAAACAGTTCTGTAAACTTTATGTGCAGCATTTAAATACTCATGTTAAAATTCAAACCCAGTGCTCACATTTCCCTGAGTGCTGTCAGTTTTATGAGATGAAACTGGGAGCTTGAGCTGAACAACTAATAGTAAGTATGCGATGTGCACATGCTGCCTTCCAACAAGTGTTTAATGATGTTGGGGTCAGTTTGTGACAGTTAAGACAGTTATTGTCTTTATTTCTGAACTGCTTATAACCTCGTGATCTCCCAAACACTTTAATTAATCTTGCAAAATATCTTGGAAATTAAAGTGGCAGTGAAAGACAGTAGATTCAGATCATTCGACAATGGCTAAAATGCCGTAAAGTCCTTTTGTTTAATTAGCACTTCTTTTTGGTGTGTACATTTGCAGACTACTTCTCTGTTTGGAATTAGCTGCCCAAGTAGAAGTTTTCACTCTTGAAAGAGCCTTGTGAATGCAATCTGTCCTGTAAGGATTGCACTCTTGTGTATAGGCAGGGCTTTTGCACAGCAAATATATTTTTGCCTTCAGAATGTGTTTTTTATTTTTAAAAATTAATCTGGTTTCCTCTGTAATATAATTTCCTTAAAATAAATTCTTCCCTTTACCCCGTCAAAGAAATTCCTTGGTTTTGATCACAAGCCACATAGCATGAGGAAGATTTCCTAACATAGGTTGTTTCCAGTTTCTGCTTGCGGGTCTGCCTGTATTTGAGCAGTTGAAGGGCAGGGTGCAGCAGTGTGGACCAAAGGATGTAGAAAGATGACATGAGCCCTGACTTTCCTCGTGGGCAGCAAGAACACCTGTGCTTTGTGGTCAGTGGCAAATAAAGGAATGGCTGTGCACATATTGCTATAGGGCGCTGAGAGAGGATTTAAGAGTGTTTTCAAGTGGGATCACCTTACTGCTTCTCCTCACCCCTTCCCCATTGCAATATGGATTTAGTATTAGCATATTTCCATTTCACTCCCTTTTGTGCATGATCCTAATCAATTGCAACATTAAATAAACTGAGTTCACAGATACCACCTCTGTTGTGTTGTGGACAAGAAGCCAACTCCTGGTTACTTACCCCCTTGGCTAAAGAGCGTAACATCTTAAAATGTACTTGCCCAATCTCCTGTTATTATGTGAGTTTGTTTTCTAGAATGACTTGTTTCTGCCTCAGCTCTCTCAAATATCTAAAAGAAAAGATGAGGCGGCCAAAGCAGAAAAGGGAGAAGTGGTGAAACACTTGCATTCCTTTTGCTGGAATGTACACAACCATTTTTCTTCAGTGTTTCACTTGTTGTACTGTGGTTCCCAAGGAAAAACAAAGTTAAGTGCCAGTTTGCTTTATTAGGGAAGACACATTGTTTTATTTCTGTCTTTTGAAGGAAGCTTTTAGTAAAGTGGGAAAAAGTCAGTTGTTAAAGCTGCTCCATTCCTCAGAGGAAGAGGAAAAGTTCTAGACTTAGCATTATCTTACTCTGCACTCGTCATCTGCAGAATCAAGGTAGTGCAGCAAGCTGTGTGGCTTCTCTGCGCATAGGGGATGGTGGTGAGCCTGTGCATGTCTTCCAGTGTAAAAGCTTCAACTAGGCTCAGGACTACTGCCTTAAGGCTAGAGCTGTCCTGTGAACCCCAAAATGCTTGTTAATGGGTCAAACAGACAAAGCCCTCCTTGTGTATTGTTTAGGTTTTATAATAGTTAGTTTCCAGTTTTCCATCATCTGGCAAATACAGGAACTTTATTTGGTTTAAGTCATATACAAGTTCAAAGTATGTGTAGCATTTTGACCCAGAGTATAATCTTTCCAGGGCTTTAACTGTGTCAAATAGTGTGTGATGGAGTATTGGAGTGAGTTGTAAAATCAAGATGAATTTCATGTTTATGTAAATCAAATTTGTTAGTCCCTTAATTCTGTTAATTTCCTGTGAAACACTGTAGTCAACAGTGAAAAGAAGTTCCTGCACAATCATTGATTTGATTTTTTTCTTTTCATTGAAAACTAATTGCATAGGTGGTTCATCCTGTCTTACAGTGATGAAAGCAGCTTCTATAGCTGTGATAAAATTGACAAACCTAACATTAAAGTATAGAAGAATTGCTTGAATGACAAAGAGAGCTGCATTTGTGGGAGTAGAAGGGAAATTCTCCTTTCACTGAGATTAAAAAAAAAAAAGGAAAATAAAAAAAAACCTCTTTAGCTTATTTAGCAATAAAATCTAGTGTCCTGCAGGGTCATGCCAGATATGCTTCTTCTCATCATTGCCACAAGAACCTATCTTGATTTTTTTCTTTTCTTTTTAAAGGTTCTCTTCTTAGATGCCTGACGTAATGGTCTTGATTTTCTTTCAGACCCTAACTGTAAACTAGAAGACAAGACAGAAGATGAAGTGCTAGACTGTAAGAAAAGGCCGGATGAGGGGGAGGAGTTAGAAGAAGAAGCTGTGCACAGCTGTGACAGCTGCCTCCAGGTGTTTGAGTCACTGAGTGATATCACAGAACACAAGATTAATCAATGTCAACTGACAGGTAAACAATACTTATCACTTTGTGGCTTTGTGCACTGTTCTGTTTGTGATTCCCATCTCTTCTGCTTCTGATCTCCCTCCTCCTTTTCAGTTATTTTATTTGTGCACTTGAATGCTTGGGTGAGACTTTTATAAACAGTTTCTGGGACAGGATTATACTGCAAATGGGGCACTGTAGATTTCCTTCATACTGAAGGATATATGGATAATTACTGCATTGTCACTGTATTTAAAGTGTTCATTAGCTGTTGGTGCCTAACTGCCATGTGTATTTTCTGTATTCATGCTGTACAGCTTTCCATACTTTGCTTATACATGTATTTTCTTAGGTCACTTGTGAACGCAGAGGTTATTTGTAAGTTAACTTTAAGTGCAGCTGCATAATGAGTGGATTTGCATGTTGCAGATCTGGGCTGGATCTTGTGTTAGTCTAATCCATTAACAACAAATGACTGTACAGTAATCAGTAACTGGAGGTTGAGAGGAATTAAGCAAATTGATAGAGAGTAAAATAAAGTTTCAGCTTCAGTCAGAGGGTGGAACAAGAGTGCTGGTCAGATACTACTGAATTGAGAAGAGCTGCATGAATGTAACTGTAGCCAGCCCAGGTTCCTCTGAAATGGTTGTAGACAGCCCCCTCACCAAGGAAACCACATGAAATCTGCTGAAATAGTTTTGCCCTTTAGATTTGTAGGTCTTTTGATAGTAGGCACTGTAGGTCCAAACAGACTCAGTTTCAACAGGAAGGTGTTTTTATTCTTTGTTAAAAGGTACTTTAGTTTTAGTGCCTACAGTGGAAAATGTATTAATTTTGCCATGCAGTTGTGTTTAAAAACCTTTCCTTACTATGACTTTGTAAACAAGGAAATCCATCCTTCCCATTTGGGAATGTTTTTAGAAAGTGTACATGTGCTCATGTTTGGAGGGCTTTCTGAGTTATTTTTGGTTCCAGTAGATCCATAGGCTTCATCCTGGCAGGATAACACAGAAGTCAAGTAGCAGTGCTGCTCTTGAGGACAAATTGTGAAGAGAAGGTGAGCAGAAGAGGAGTAAGTGGGTAGGAGCAGTAGGAGAGTTGAGAAAGTAATGTGAATTTGTCAAATAGCTTTAATCCCAGCTTCACATTATGGAAGGTGAAAATCTGCTGCAGCAAATGTTCACTTTTATTAATATATTGCTTTGCCTTTTCTTGCCTGTAAAATGTTTTTCTAACTTCAGATGCAGACAGTTCTGCCATTCCCTACTGCTGCAAACTTCTAGAATGTATTTGTCTATATTGCTCATGTTTTCTGGCAGTATGGATAGTCACTCTTGACTTTACAAAACTTTTTTTTTTCTCTCCTTTTTTTCATACTTCTTTGTTTTGCTCTTTCTGTGTTGAAAAATTAGTGGCTTTAGCTTGTCTCTTCCTTCCCTCTCCCAGAAAGCATTCCCCGTGCCCCAGTCCTCTGTATCTCCCCTTTACTACTTCATCCCTGTTTTTTTTCACCTTGATCTGATATGGCTGTTTCTCCTTTCTGGTTAGTTAGTTTCTGCCCCTACCTTGTGTGCTAAGTTGTTTCTTTACTTTAAAGCTGCAAGCAGAATTCACTGAACAGTGCTTGCACAGTTGGGTTGAGGAACTGAAGGAAAGCAGGAGGAGGAAGCAGTAAGTAGGAAGAGTCCTGGAGCACTGCTTCTGAATACAGCAGCTCTTGCTGAGAGTTATGTTGTTAAATAAGAGTGGAAACAAATATACTGGATTAGTCATTTTGGGGTGCATGTGTAAAGACAGGAATACATGTATGATGTCAGAGGATGGAGGAATGAAAACAAATTTTGAAGAAAATTCTTTAACTCTCCTAAAAATACCTTTGCCTCTTTCAAGGAAAATTGTGATTGTGAGTGGATGGAGATCAGACTGTTTGAAAGCTAATGAAGTGAATGAAAACCTAAACTGCACATCCTTCTAGACTACTAAGTTGACAAAAAGCCAAATGTCCTCTGTTTATAAATGTAGATGACCAAAATACACCCTTCCTTGAGAGAGGGGTCTGGATAGAATGGCCAGAGTTAAGGATTTCTTCTTTCTCCAGCAAAAAATACTAAAGAGGTTGTTAGTGAGTTGAATTCAATGCAGGGTCTTAAGCTGCATGTGTGGCCTAAAACTAAGGACACAACATTTAAGAAAACCTCATTGCTTTACGTTATTTTTAGTTAATCAGTGACAAACAGTTGACAGACAAGCAGCTTACCTTTCTCTTCTGAAGCACAATACCTATTAAATGAAAATAAGGATTCCCTTTAGCATTTTAGGCAAGTTCCCTCGTCTCTTGCCTTTTTCTTGGGCTTCCAGCAGTGCCTGTGGGTGCCATGCTCAGATTCAAAGTCTTCAAAAAAGCATGACTGTGTAGGTGTGGTTGCACCTCCCTTTCTCATCAGAGTCTTCTGATGCAACAGAGTTTTACGTAATTGCTCTGGTTGCTCTTGGGAGTCCCAGTGAAACCAGTAGGCACCCTAAGGTATTTGTCTGTCAGTAAGTTGTTAAAGATAGGCAAGAGGTTTACCAAAATTGAATTTTCTTTACTATATTCTGTGGTTTGGGTCAACTGTATTCTCTCTGGAGGAGGGCAGAGTGTATCATCTAGCATGATATATGATCTTTCCATCTGGGCCTCATCTCAGGTGCTGAAGAATTACGTAACCTGTCCATTATATAATGTGTGTACCCCACCTAGGGTAGTGGAAGAGGAATGTTACTTAAAGGCTGTGAGATTTAGCTCTGAGGATCTTGAATTGCTGTTCTCTTGCAAAATTTTTCAAAGGAGAAGAAAAAAGTTCTCCCCAACTGGTTTCTTCCTGTAATCTGTTGTTTGACTTGAACTCATGTTCTTTCTGTAGAGGAGGACATAACTGCTCTTTCATCGTAATGTGTGCACTATTGATCTTTTCAATTTGGGTCTGATCCAATATCCATTGAAGTCAATGAAAAGATTCCCATTGACTTCAATGGGGAATGGAACAGGTCCTTCATGAGCTATTTGGTAATATTTTTTGCTATCATCTGAAATTCATGTACTGAAGCTTTCTCTGAAAAGGTGATGATTTATTTATGTTAATTGCTTGACAATTCCTGTGATGTTTGTGGAATACAGATAATGGATAAATGGGGAAAAAGTAAAAAAAAAATCTTTGAAATACTTGTAATCATGGGCAGATAAGATGTTGAACTATATTAATTTAGTCATTCCAAAAGATTGGCAACAAAAATGTAGATTTAATAGTGTTTCTGTCTGATGTTAATGCTTTTTTCACTCTATCCTTCCTGCAGCATTTCCATTTAATACTCATGAGCCACTTGCACATTGTCATCCTCTAAGTTGTGTACATAAGTAAAGGATATAATTAGCTTGACTATGAACCTGATGTCCTTCTAGGATGCATCAGTTTGGATCCCACTGTAGAAACATGCATGCATGCAGGTTCAAATGTGGTGCACTACTGGTAAATCCTCAACTACACATCCTCTCCTACTTCTGCCAACAGGAAAAGAAACTTAACCTTTTGCAATGTTGCCATATATGCTGTTGGTAGGGCACAGTTTGTCAGATGCTTTCCCTAATCTTCTCTTGCTTGACTTACAATCTCCTCTCCCTTCACAGCACAGAGAACAATCCTGTTTCTCAGGGATTATACTCTATGAAGTCTTCTCTGTACACATGAGAGCTGCCTCTCTGCTGCATGATTCTGTTCAGAGGCATTCAGCTCAAGCTTGGTTCTTTTGAAGATCCTGTACGTTGCCTTGGCATCACAAGTCTCAGCCATAACCAAAGTAATGCTAGAAAAAAGAGCATCTTATTATGATGCCTTGCTTGCAGTCAGATATGCAGTGAAGATGCCAGCCTAGTTGGCTGAGTTGTTGAATAACTCAACAGCAATGGACATATTGGTACACAAGACTGCCATCTTCCACCTGAATGTCAGTAGACCTAGTGTGTGTTAAAGGACTTCCCTACTAGCCCCATTTACAGGCTGTAAAACTTGTCTGAAAGAAGGCTACTGAATCATAGTACCTTCAAGGCTAAGGGTGTTCTGAGGTAAAGTACATGAGCTATTTCTCCATGGGATATTTATTTTACCTCTAGATGGACTTAGTTTTATGCTTTGGGCTCTGGCTTGCTGCTGGAGCTTTCACAGGTTGAGTAAGTATGTCAGGTCAGTATGTAACATACATACATATTACCCCCTAAGTGGTTCCTGGTGTTGAAAAGGTTATTGGCTATAGCTGTGTGTCCCCTGCCAGTGAGAAGATGCAATCTTGCTCTCTCTCACCTCAGAGATTCCTCTCAGAAGCCATATGAAAATAATCCCAGCAGATATACTGGGGCCCAGTTGTTCTGAGTGCTGCTCTCCATCAGCACTGGAGTATCACTAGGCTGGGAACTTCTAGCAAAGTCAGTACTTCTGTGTTTCCAGTTATGACCAAAATTAATTTTCATAGATACTATCCTCCTATGTGGTTGAGAAACACCTCCTTGCATATCTACAAATAAGAGCTTGTGCTACCTAACAGCTTCACAGACGGCATGCACCATGGGTGATCATGGACTTTACCAAATGGCAGGTAATAGAGATTCCACTGTAATGCTTTCCTTCTCTTGCCTCTTTTCTCTTCTTCCTAGTGCCCAGGAATCTTCTATCTTTCTGAATGAGTTGGTAATGACAGAACCATCTCCTTCACTGGAAGACTTGAAAACTTTCCAGGGGATTTTGTCCCAAAGGATGTATGCGGTGCACAGTGAGACTACAAGATAAATGTTGTGAGCACTTGGTGTCATTCTTTGATATCCTAGCTAGAATTGCTCTTCCTGCTATCAAAATAATCCTAGAGCTGCCCAAATACATTGCAGATCTTGCCATTGCTTTTTCAGTTTCCACTGCCTATGTGGAGAAAAGATGCAGGGCAAGAGTCCTTGGTCATTTCTGCAGTACAGAGAAAAATCTGAGCTTGATGAAAGTGCTTCTGAGGACAAGGACTCTAAGAAGTTAAATCTGTGATGCACCAAAAGCATATTCATCTGCCTCATTGCAGTTAGTGGCACACTGCCAAGCACTATTTGCCAAGTACAGTTACTTCACTTGAGAGAGTCACCCTGTTTCTTTTGAGAATTCCTGCACCAAGGACTGCATATGGATTTTACATTAAACAGTTATTGAATGAAAGACAAACAGTGCTTGGGCTTGGGACTTGAGCTTAGGTCTCTTTTTTTCCTTAGAGGGCTTCCCAGTTGTACTACTGCTTCTACTTCTCCATTTGCTTTGGACCACAAACTTTTGACTTATCTACAAAATGATGTTCTATTTGACTGATAGAGTGGAAAGCAGACCCTCTCCTCCAGTTTCCTGTGCCAGCCAACACACATGGTAGTTCAGTGATGCTTCTTTGAGTTTGCATGTTATGGAATTACATCCTTGCAGAATAATGTGGTCCAGGACCCATATCTGCAACTTCAAATCTTTGATACCTGGGGAAAAGGGAGAACAAGGTGGTAACTACAACCTTTGTCTCCAAAAATCATAAATTTGAATTCAGAGAGCAGTGTGAAGCCTTTACATGCATAACAGAATGGCCAAGGCCTGCTAAAGTCATAGCAATTCGGAGAATCTGCCATACAGAACTTTGTATGCAAAACTTCATGCTCCTAGGGAGGATGATGAAGGTCTTGATAATTGTGTTCTTAGATTTTCATATCAAAATTCTGTATAAATACTAGCTAGCTTGGTACTGCTCAAGTATGGAGGGAACTTTTATATGCTAGAGCTGAAAGCTGTGAAAGTAGGCTGCATAGCTGTTCTTCGAAACCCTGTGCTTACCTTGAGAGACAGTAGGTCCATAATGAACAGCCAACATGGGCAAGGAGGCATAAACTCCTCCCCATTTTGCTTGGAAACCATTAGTCTCTGCTGTTGAGATTGTTAATCAGTCATAAAACCAGTAGATCTTCTCCTCTTGAGTGTTTTAAAAGCAGCCTGTTGCACTTCCTGAGTTGTCTGTCAGTAACCTTTTGCAAGTGAAAGCAGCTGATGGTTGTATCATGGAACTGTTATTCTTGACTTGGGAAAGCCCTGTAATAAACCTGTTCATGAGCATAAATTGTAAATGCCGGAACTCTTGAGAACTTTTGTTCTGTTTGGAGGTGGGAGAGGAAGCAAGTGGTGTTTTCCAAGGGGCTGAGTGCTTCCTGTATATCTTTCATTTGTCTTTTCCCCTCTCCCCGTTTAATTTTTGCTTCCTATTGTCCTCCTTTTTTTTTTTTAGCCTGATTTTCCACCACTAAAAAAGGCAGGTGATTCTTTTAGCACATACTAGCAAGGATAGGTTTGGTTGGCTTATTTACTGTATATGTCTACCAAGGACTTTACAACCATGTGAACATGAACTCCGAATGTGATTGGGAAGATACTGGATCAAAGCTGGTGTCAGTGCCACTCACGAGGAAGCAGTTTCCTCACTGAGTACCATGGACAGAGACACCTCCTTCTTGGCCCAGGAAGTGCTGGTCTGCCGCAGAAACCACTCAACTGGAGACTATAGTTGGCAAATGGGTTTTGTGTAGGCAGACCCAATGCAGCTGTTACCAGGTGTAGTTATTGGTGTAACTGCCTTTCAACTGTCTTCTACATTTAAATAGTCTAGCATCATGTCTGTGGCTCTTAGGACGCATTTTGCAGCAATCCATGCCTTACTGGGCAAGTGGTGTATGGCAGCAGAGTTTGGCCAAAGTAGTGTTATACAAGCGAGCTATATATTCCTGTCTGGAACATGAATCAAATCATCCCAGGACTCGGGCATCACACATACGAACCATGCTTTTAATCACTTCTGCTCAAAGCTTCTAAAGTGAACACTCTTTCAGTGTAGATGAGGAATTAATAGTGAGGACAGCACACTGTTTTGCAGGTTTAAAAGACCCCTTGTGCCTGTCACCCAGAATCTGAGTACCTCAGAGGTTTATGTAAACAGTATGCTTTACTTCAGTCTCTTCTACCCAAATTATGTGCAGCAGTAGGACTTATGGTCACAGTCCTAAGCTATACCAGAGGACATGTCTACCTGGTGCTTTTTTGACAGGACTGTGAAAGCATCAATTGGGCATGCCTAACATGCCATTGTGGGTGTGTGCAATAGCATTAGGCTCTGGGAGGGGCCATGATAACATTTGGGCTTTGGCATTTTGTGGTTGTCAAGTTAGTTCTACATCATCATCCCTGTTTCTAAGCACTGACTTACCCATACAGCTCCCTAGTTTTTTCAGACTTAGTTCAAATGCCTCCCTGGTATTCTGTTAAAAATCTGCCCTAGCTAAATCCAGAACTTTGCTTTACTACATTGATAGTCTGTTGTTCCATTTATTTATAGCCACTGCTGGGTGTTCTAAAGGTCAAGCCGTTTCCTCACAGAGCAATTCCAAATGGGCAGTACAGGGTACCTCTCTGTTACCGTTTGGCTGCTGCGACTTTCCCATTGAATATTAACTTTGCTCTCCCAATGCTCGAGTGACATCTCCCTCCTGTTTCAGAAGAGGTTCCAATTTCTGATATCTGCCAGGTGATGACATGAGGTAATCCACTGACCTTTATCAGGCATTCTGTGGAGGATGGAACTGCCAGAGCTCATTCCAGTATTGGGAGAGCAGTACTATAATCACTATTTGATCTATGCAGCTGAAATTCAGAATTCTTATTGTCCAAGGAAGATGGTTGCCTGCAGGGGAGAGAAAGGAGGGGGCAGGGGGAATCATCAGCACTGGCACATATGTGAAGAAGGAAAACTAGTCATTACTTACCCTATGATAACTATGCTGCTTCCAATTACTCTTGTAGTCCATATGGATCCTGTGGCCAAGCTTGTCTTGCTTTTCACAGTCTTCAGTAATATAGACTTTGAATTGTAAAGCTGCTGCTGATACAGGGTCAGAGCTACCCTGACCTTTACCCAGTACAGTGGGAATTCATGTGTATGATTCGAAGAGGAGGCACACCATTAAAAATAAAGTAATGATTGTCTTGCATGTATAAACATGTACACACCTATGGTATGTATTCAGTACAGCGTTTTAGAGAATCGGCTACTGCAGAGTAAAATACCTGTTGTTTATTCCATGCTTCTATTTTACTGGAATATTTATATCATATTGTAGGTGTATTACAAAATGGCTCTTGTTGCCATTACAAACTAGTCTTTTTAAGTGGTGAATTTCCTGCACCTTCTAAAATAATTTTCTTGAAATACTTGCTGGTTTTATTATTGGTGCTTGCTTTAATTACCATTCAGAAATGAACAGAATGGGAGGTACAACAGATTATCATTACTTATATGTTCAGCAGTTAAATTCATAGCTTGAAAGCCAAATGTAACAAAATGCCCCACAGCTCTGTAACACTTTGCTTAATACAGTTGCAGAAGAACCTTAATTTATGTTTATACAATCAGCTGTAGAGTGTTAAGGTTTCCAGGTGGTGTGGTAGTTCACTAACATACCACCTATATGGACTCAGTTTATCCTCTCAGGCATCATCTAGATGGTGTAATAAACCAGCTTTTTATGAAAACAAAACAAAATCCCCCATGTCAGAAAATGAATTGTTGCAGTGGAAAGGTCCTTTAAGACATTCCAGGCCCTGCCTGGTCTTGGTGTAATGACCTGAGTAATCACTTCTGCTTGCATACTCTGGCTGTTAGAGGGAATAGCGTTAAGACAAAGAGAAAGCACATCTTAATTCACCCAGCGTGTTCTGAGCCATACCTTGTGCTTTTTGAGAAAAACACCTTTTGTATTGAATATTCTGTTGTGGAAATCCACTTTGATGTTGAAATAGAAATTTAGCCCTGACACAAGGCGCTGCACCTATGTGAAACACTGAAACCTGCAGTGCCTTTTGCTAGAACTCCTCTGTTTTTTACAAGACATGAGATATGCCATTAATTCCAACTGTTTTTCCAAAATGACTGGTAGTTGAGGCAGACTTTTTCTTAGTATGAACCCTTAATATTCCTAATTTTATATCCCTGTACTTGTACTAAGAGGTCATAGTCCTTAGCTAGAGATATCATTTGGGAATGCTGTAGTGTAACTGAGATCTATGACCTCTTAATAAGCATCAGGAGAAAGAGATGGGGATCATTCTACAACATGCCCTGGGGGTACTTTCCCTTCAAGAAGGCAAGCTGGAACTGTTCAACTTTTTTCTTTCTTTCAGTTTTTTACCTTCAGGGGGAAATTGATCGATTTGGAGATGATTATTCCATAATCTCTGAATTTTTCTCTTCTACACTGCAATGGGATCTCCTTGAAGTTTAAAGGGGTTGTGTCTCCTGTGTACACTGTGGAATGAACCCAAGGAGTTTATGGAGACAGCAGTTCTCTTAGCACAGTTACTGTAATAGTAGGCAAGTTTGGAACTAAAATACCAGGAGAATCTGTGGACAGAAAAGGGTAAATTTCTTATTAAATTTGGCTGACTGAGCGTGATCACTTCTCTCAATGGATGTTTCATTTGGGATTTATTTCTGGGGAGACAGAAGTGGGGTTTGCCCAGGAATGTGAATGTATTAAAAACATGGTAGAACTGAGAGTTATGGTGAATTGAAGCAAACTAGAAAAAGTGAACTTTTTTTGGCAGTTGACTTCCAAAAATCTCAAAATTGACAGGAGAATATTTGACATGAATTTAATAATGACATGAAATACTGAAACATTATCTGTGAATTTTTTCTTTAAATTTACTTTTAATAATGCTATCAAAATCATGTTAAGTTTATACGCTATCAAGATCATGTTAAGTATATACATGTACAAGTAATTTAATATCTTTATCTGTAGTATTTCTGAAGCACATAAAATGCAGCAAATTCTTTTGCCTGTATGTAAACAAGGCATGCTTTCAGGGCAAGGAATGAACTGAGTGCCTCAAAATGTCTTTAGAAATAGTAAGATACTACATAGAATCATAGACTCATACATAGGTAAATACTGCCATGAATTGGCACTTGGTAGATATGTATAATATACTTGAATTAATGTTGAATATCGTAAGGATACCTGTCACTGGTTTATTACTTCCCTCACCATGACCAGAACCAGTGTCTCTCGTTTGTTTTATTGCTGGATCCCAGCAGGAAGTGCAGTCTAATGACTGAAGGAGGGTTGGGTGACTCATGCGGGGGAGTCTGGAGAAGGGTCAAGTTTTTCAAGTACTTTGCAAACCTTCTACCAGCTGTAAAAGCAAAGGCATAGGGAAATTAAACAGCAGTTGTTAATTTACCTTTCTCTGACAAATGCAGGCTTCAGCATGAGTGCATAACACATCAGTTTTATCGTTAACACATTAATTAACATCAATAATTTTTTGCATGTATGCATTTATTTCTTATTGCTATTATCTGACTTCAGTAGTGGCCAGAAGTGATGCTTGGGTTTTTGCAAAACAGTGTGTTTGATCTTTCCTGTAAATTCAGTTTCTAAGTAACACATCTTTGTCCTGAACTATTTTAATGTCAGTAACCATAGGTTTCTGTATAATTATTTTTCTAAACTGCATTTGAAATACTGAAAAAAGTTTTAATATTTGCATTTTCTGTCATGTTATGATATTTTGCATTACAGGACAATCTTTCATTTATCAGACATCTCTGTAGCCTTCCTGGAGAATGTTTTCAGTTTATGTCCATCAGTTGCTGGCTGTAATCTTTGCTTCACTGAAACCAATGGAAATGTCATTATTATGTTTGTTGAGGGCAGGATTTCTGCTAGTGAGTTCAAGTTCTCATTTGATTGTATTATTACTCTCAGAATTCTTCTCTATGCCACTCAGGTCTCTGCCTTTCCAACACTCTTTATAATTTCAAAATAGTCAGTGCTTAACAAACTTATTTCCAAATAGTGCTTCCCAAACAACTGACTGGCTGTGGTATTAACCCTAAGTTTGCAAGCAGTTTCCTATGGCAGGTTAGTTTCAAAGTACAAAAGCTTCCTTTGTCTGCCATGATACCAGGTGCTCTCAAAAGCAAAGGTTGAGAAAATGGAAGAATCGAGTTTATCTTTTGTGACCTTCCTCACCTGTCATTTGATTTTCTCTTGCTATTTGGTATGCTTATTCTTACTACTGAGGCTCTACATTTTTGTTCTTGTTATCTTCATATTTTCCATTCTCTTACTGAGTGTTTCTGGAGGTCTGCTTTTATTTCTGTTGCCTTTTCCAGTATCAGCAGGTCAGGTATCCTAGCAGTTCTTCCTTTACTGAGAAGGGTGGAGATGGTTTTCTCTAGCGCTGGAAAATCCTACTGCTTCTCTGCTTCTTGTCTGTTCTCCCTCCTTTCTCACTCTCTGCTGTTTGCCTCTGTTCCCTTTCTGCCTCTAGGATCCTGTGAATAGTGCTACTATTCCTGTTGGGTACTGCAGCAAGAATAGCAGACATACTCAATATACTTGGTTTTATTCTGCAGCTTCTGCTGGACTTGAGGATGGTTTTTGTAGGGACCAAGAATATAGATTCAGTCTCAGGTCTACAGTCCGTCTTGATACTTGCACAGTTGCGCACAGGCTTATTCTTGAGTTGATCACTTTTAGATTTTAATAAATGCTCCTGGTTTTGTGTAATGTTTCTTCAGGAACGCACCACAGTGAATACCACTGAAAAATCACAAGAAGTTCCCAAGGGGTAGAAACATTTACCCCTCATAGAACAGGACAAAAGAATGTTTGGTATTCCACATACCATATGGTTCTTGTCATTTCAATGCAGGCATAGCTGGCCCTGATTTATTGTTTAGGGTGAGTTTGTGTATACTGAGTTGCCTTCAGGAGAAGCTTGTAGACATTCCTATTGCATTTCAGTTATTGGACAGTGCCTGAAATGCTTAAAAATTACTTGTGCAGTTCTCCTCTATGGGCATGGAAAGAAGCCCAATACAAATTAAAGCCTAAATTCTACCTATTGCAAAATTCATAGGCTTGAATATGAAATCAAAGAGAATCTCTGTATGCTGTGAATCCCACAGATTTTTTTCGTACAATGTTTTTGAAACTGCACCTCAGTTAGTGGATCTGATGCTGTGAGGGTGGTGAAAGGCCCTAGCAGATGTAACTGATTAATAAATACATGTTCAGTGTGTCAGTATTCCTCTTTGCATGTGGGGCAAACCTTCTATTTGATATGCATGTAAGAATTGCACAATACTTTTTATCTTCTATGCTCCAACATAGTATTTTACAACTATTTATCTACAATAACATGAAATGTAGCCAGCTTTGCAGAAGGCAGCAGCTAAGACCCATGAGACATAGTAGAGGGAGACAGGAAACTCTGGCCAAGAAAAATGTGGCAAACCTCCTGCTCTTGTGAAAAATGCCACAGGATCTCTGCTGTCCACAAAAAGCAGATTGCACTGCAGCTTTTAAGATGTGAATGGGTGAATTATTCCAGACATGCATTGCTAAAATGTGGCTAATGCTTTGTTTTTCAGGTAAGTAGTAGTCACAGGAGTTCTGTGTTTCAAAATGGTATGACTGTGACAGCATAAGCTCTTTTATCAAACACGGAGGGAGGCTGCCCCTGATAACCCAGCCATAGCTGTAGAAACTGTTCCACATGCAAGTGTTGTCAGTCCCATATGATTCTAGATCATGGGGTCGAGGAAGTGGCTTAGGGTAGTGTTTAACCCTAAAGTCATATCCTGGCCCTCCTTTTTCTCCTTGCCTCTCTTCTCTGTGAGCTCTAGCACAATATTTTGACTTGTGAGCCCAGAGGGTTGACTGTGTGGCAGACGCTTAAGGTAATTATGGGCTTACTTATACATTTTACTGTCAAATTACGTAATTTTCGATAGAGGGCATAATGTATGCTTTCTAATACATACTCATTGAGTCTTAGGGTTCTGCTTCTTATTAGATAGTTTGAAAATCAAACCACGTGTTGTAACAGACCCCAGTACAATTGCCGTAAAATGCTTGCAGCGTTCTTCCCTTTCCCTCCATAAAATTCAAGGATGAATAAATACAGGATGCTCTGTTGAAGAAAAGTTTGGATGTGAAATCTTTTATTGTAATATGTGGAATGTGTTTACTAAACTGTGGAAGCTATTAGGGGTACAGGAAATGTGTATTTAGGTAGTCAGTATGGTCTCAGTGAATGGAATTATCATTCTTCCATCAGCCAAGGGTAGTAAACGTGGTTTGCAATCCAAATGTTATTTGCATAGTTTATAGGTTTGCCAGCTATTCTCTTAATAATGAAGTATATAGTTTTATCAGAACTACATGCCTGTGGAGGGGGAATGGGAAGAGCAGAGAACAACGTATTTTGCAAACAAATGAAAAAGAAAATTAACTATTTTCAGAATGACTAAAAAGTTTTGATTGTATATTGCAATTGTATTTGGTGACAAGGGAACTGAAGAAAAATTACCTTGAATGTAAAAATGGTTCTTAACATTTCCTATACTCCTATGGAAGTGTCTTTTTGGATGGAAAAGTAAATGAAATTTTCACCAAGCATCTTTTCCTGTAAAAAGATGTTGCAACTTTTGGCTGGCTCCAAGTTGTTTATTATAGCCTTTCTCCTTCTTTCTTATATATTGTTTAAAATGCTGAATAAAAGATTCTTCTTTCTTCCTGCTTCTCAATAAGGAGTTAAATCAGCTTGAAAGAAGAATCATTGCGAGTTAATTAGATTGCATATTGGCTTTCACGACATGGCTCCAATATACAACTCTTTAGTTGCCTTTTGTATAATAGCAGTTGCCCATAAAGGTGCTGTATGTTAAAATTCCAATATAATTATGTTGTATGTTTCAGTTAAAAATATTACAGTTAGCATTTTTGCTATCATTTAATAGTTGAGAAACATGGACGGTTGTTTTTGGGGGGGTTTGTTGTGTGTTTTTTTCCTCAAGAAACTGTATATCATCTCCTGGATCCAAAAAGTATCTATTTTTGTATGTGTATAGCTCGCTTACACTGGTGAAATGCTTCTAAAATAACATATGTAATGTTATATTATTGTGTAAGTAAAGACTGTAGCATTACCCTTTTCCAGACCTTATGAGCATAATCAGAAGTACCATATTTTAAGAAACACTAAGCCTGTCTGAGCAAAATGCCTGCAGGATCTCATACTTCTCCCCCTATTTCTGGTTTTGTTGTTTTTTTATAAAACATAGACCTGGCTCAGATTTGTGTAGTTCATTTGAAGTTCATGCAGTGAGTGGATTAATCATTCGAAGATGGATAGCTAAATAAAGTTACTTTACCTTAGAATTGCAACTCCAAAACTGATCTCATAAAATGAGCCCTCGTATGTTCTTTGGCATGATTCTTCTGTAGCCAGTCTGCACTGTTTTCTGTGAGCTACAGCAGGAAAAATGAAAGATTAAAATTCCCATTTCCAGTCTAAGGCCTGCTTGGTGACTTGTTTCCTCCCTGATACTTAAAATTAAACCCACTCACTAAGCCTACTTTTTTAGCATTGCTGCAAGTACCACTGTTTCCTCTAAGTTGAGGAAATATAAAGAAGTTATTCCCAGACTGAAAACCAGTAAACTTCAGACTACAGTTTACCTTTGCAGATAAAGGTAAGTAATTTCATAGAATATTAACCTTCTCTGCATTGCCTCATTATTCAAGGCCATGTCTTTCTAACTTCCCTCTCCCCATAGTTCTCATTCATTTTTTAAATTTCTTACGTTTCTCCCTTACTGTATTACATTTGCTGAGAATATGGAAGACTCTTGTGCTGGTAGAAAGGGAAATGATGTAACTGTGTGTTTGATCTGATGTTTTTTTTAAATAACTTACAAGTTGTAAAAATCTGAACATCATCGACTTGTGTTTCTCACTTTCAGAACTTTTGTGTTACAATTATTTGCCTGTCCTTTCAGAAGATTTCTAAATGAAAGAACAGACATGGTTTATTCAGTACAGATTTGAGGATCAAACTGGGGAAATTATTCTACTTGTTTGCTGGCAATTAATGCAAGCCGTTGCTCCCTTATAAAGGAAATAGGTTTGAAGTCCACTCATTTCTTCTACTGAATGCTCCATCCCTGGCGGTGTTCAAGGCCAGGTTGAACAGAGCCTTGGGTGACATGGTTTAGTGAGAGGTGTCCCTGCCTGTGACAGGGGGGTTGGAACTAGATGATCTTAAGGTCCTTTCCAACTCTAACTATTCTATGATTCTATGATTCTATGATTGTTAAGCCATGAGTAGATTTTAAGCTATTTAAAATTACTGATCCTGAAAAGCTAACCTACATGAAAAAGGTTCAGAGAGTGCATAGCTGAATGAGGAGGGGACCAGGTGAGAGAAGATGAGTTAGATAAATTAGTGTCACTTTTCATAAGTATTACTTACAGTCAGAATCTTCTGCTTCATGTAGATAATTACTTCAATGTTTTCAGCCAGAGAAAGGCATACAGCTTTTTCCTGCTTTTTTTTTAATGTTTTTTTCCTTTTTTTTTCTTTTTTTTTTTTTTTTAAGAATTTGAACTTCCATTTTTCAATGACTGGTGAAGAAATACTGAGTGTGTCTCTCAAATCTTGTGTGTCTGGGGTTTAACTCCCAGTGTGACAGTACCTTTTTGCCTTAGGCCTTTGATGTATTTATCCTCAAAGTGCCTCAGAAAGGTTAGGAAGATCTAAGGGTACTTAACAATTAAATTAAAAATAATAGCTTAAGGTGAGATATACATTCTTGCATCTGAAGTTGTGATACAGAAATGCTCTGCTCAGCTATTACCTCCCTTAAAAGACACCTTTCTGGCACACTTAATGGTCTCTTGTCTCAGCCTGAACCCAGAATTACCGCTGTTTTCTCCAAGCTGAGGAAGCAAAAAGAAATTATTCCCAGACTGAAAAGCAGTAAACTTCAGGCAAGGATTTAACTTTACAGGCAAAGGTAAGTAATTTCATTGAATACTAACATCCTCCACATTGCTTTGGTCTTTTGACCATTCCACAATCTAATGCTTTCCACTACTTCTTCCAGGCCATCAGTGAAGGAAACTTTTGCATATGAGGTGAAATGGTATACCAGGAAGTTGTTATTCAGGAATGCTCCACTTCCAAATTTGGGGCATTGAGATGCACAGATTATTTTAAAAGAAAAAGTAACGCATAAAAGACATAATGGTAACTCATATTGACTGTTCAGATTGTTTGTAAATAGTATCATGTGGTTAAAGTGCAGGAAAATGCTGCTGGAGATCTTCTGTTAGAGCTGTGAGGAATGGAGGATGTGGAGGTTGTTTCTTTGGTGGTGCATTTCTAACTATTTTTTACCCTTTTCCCGTTGGCTTAGGTGAGAAATAGGAATATATGGCATTCCAGGATGGAATTACTGGTACAAAGCAGGTCTACTAATTTAATCAGAATTGTAAGCTAGCCTTTTCCTTATACTAGTTATGCCAGTTAGTACTGTTACACAGAAGCAAGTCACAGTGCATGCATATACTACCAATCACTCCCACAATGAATTTCCATGTGGCTGTAACAGTACTGCACTGGTTTCCAAATTGTCCTTTTCCCATGACAGATTGTACTGTTGTATTTGGGATACAAAGTGAATTCTTCCAGCTCTGAGTTTAGGCTTTGTGGAACCTGAGTACAAAGTAAGATCTGGAGATATAAAACTTGCACCAACATTGCTTTGCTACAAGGTTGTATATTGATTTAAACTACTGGCTCCTATCCATCAAAGCTTCTATTTCAGAAGACATTTTCTGGGAATCTTTCTGTATCATAAGTATACCAGGCCCTTAAAAAATTGCTACTATTTATAAAATTGTATTCTGAAATGTATATTTTATTTGAGATCTTAAATACCGACCTCTGTAGCTTCAAAGTAATGGATGAGGGCTTTAAAGCTTAGAGGGCAACATCTGTTAACACTGCCTGTTTTGCATATCTATATACCATATAAATTTGTTCAAATGATTTGAAAATAGACATTCATAAAAGTATACCCAACATTTAGTTTACTGACCATAATGTACTACTCATTGAAATGAGAGTATGACTTGCAGATGGATCTCTTAAGTCTAAATAATTTTGCAGATGTGTCAAATGTGTTTTGTGGAAGAAATGTAAGGGTAGCAAATTCTGTAAGTAAGGTGGAGAACATGAATGCTGAAATTTTTAATTACTACATAAGTATCGTAATAGTTGAAAGGATACAGAAGTGGACAAGATCCATGTCACTTGCTGAAAGCTAACAAACAGTCCTCTGTTTCTCCACCCTCAACACTGCTCCAGATGAACTTTAAAAACTTTAAAAATTTAAATATTGGAATGAATAAATGTGACCAGACAAAACAGTAAACAGGACTGTTATCTCTATGTTTTTAAGTGATGTTGAAAGTAGAACTAGCATCTGAAATGAAGGTATCGAACTCTGGGTTTCAATATAGTCACTTAAACATACGCAAAGATTAACCTTTTCTCTAAAACTGGTAGTTAAATATTGCTGTGGCAGCTTTCTTTGGCCTTTTATTTGCTGTTAATTATTGGTGTTTGCTAGAGCAAAGGAAGAAGTAAATACTTGAGGAAAAGACCTTGTGCTTAGTGTAATAATTTGATAAATTTGGGAACCTAAGCTGAATCTTAGGTTCAGAAACTCTTTGTTCATGAATGCTTGTGTACTAAATGAGAGTTAGGCTGAGCAAAAGCAGACAATGGACATTCAGGCCCCTGTATTGCTGAAGATGCCCTTCTGGGTATCAAAAGGGAAGAAGGTGATTAAGAAGTGCATTAAGGGAGTAGAGACCCTTGCAGTAGCGAGCAGTAACTGTGTTACATCTGTATTGTATGGCATAATGCCACGCGGAGATAGTTTAGCTCTCTAAGTAAGAGAGTTGTATTAACTTTTGAGTAAACAACTTCTCTTTCTGAGGATGCTATGTCAGTTCTAGGGCTGGCAAGATCCCCAGTAACTTGGACATTTTATGTTTGCTTTAATGCACGGTGTAGATGTGCCAAGTCTGTGTATTTGATTTGCAAAGGACAGAAACGTAGTGGTTTTGGCTTGTTGATTGTTGATGTTCTATGTTGTCTGCATAGTGTACAGTCCTTTCATAAAATCGCCTCTTTGAATACAAGTTTCTATAGAAAATAGTAGTTTCATGCCTGTGTCCTCTGAACTTGGCAGGTTACCGAATCCAAGAGACCAGAGACTTTCAGTCACTGAAGGCAGAGGTGTAGTTAAATTCGGATGCGTTGTTCAGCCTGTTGAATTTGTCTGTTCACTATTGGCCTGCTGTAAGGTCGGGAAATGTGCAGGTGCCTTTCTGAACAGGGGAAGAGAGTTCAGTCTGTTAGCAGTACTTCTGCGTGTCGCACCTTCATTACAATGTGTTTCATTTTATATTCCATTTTTTCTTGTTAATTTGATCCTGTCAGTAGTTAAAACCAGGTAATTTGATCCAGAAATTATGATAATTTCCTATGGAGAATTGAAATGTACAGAAATTTAACATGAAAGAGAGACCTGTCTTGTACCTGTTTTTCTGTACCAGTGTACAGTGACCCTAGAGAAGTTAAACAAGGAAATTTCTTTTAAAAGAGGAGGCAGAAATCCTGCATGATATTAAGGAGAAAAGAGCCTCAGGGAGGATATTTCAATCACTGTGAGCTGACAAAATGCTCCAGAGCAGCACAGTCCACTTTTAGTGTCATGTTGAAGAATGGAGACACAGTTCAAGGGTGTGCTATTAGTATTGCCAACCCAAACTTCAAGTGTCCGTGTGATGGAAAGGACCCTGCTGTATACAGCTATCTCAGCTGCTGAGTGATAGTAACTTGGGTATACTAAGAGGCTTTTTTGTGAGATCTTATTAAAGATAAGGCTTAAAAAATTCTTGATGAAATTGTAATAATTGATTTATTTGTCATTCTTTTAAAGCTGGAGCACACTGACCTTTTTAAATATAGAAAACAAAACCAAAACCAAAAGAGAATAACCTGGTGAAATATAGGCACTTCTGCCATCTTTATTGTTATCCTTTGCCTCACTCAGGTGGTGTTCACAGCTACCTGGACTACTCTCAGACTTACGCCTCGAGGACATCTGCAGTGCTCATGAGACAGAGCTTTATAGAGCAGACTCACACAGCACTCTGCTTCAGAGATGAAGTGATTGCTGGCCAGGAGAAATGAAAAGGGAGCGTTACATTACTTCCCACTGCAAATGTGATCTGGACCAACAAGCTGTAACCTGCACTTACAAGAAAATTAGCCTTGCCACTGTATTTTAAGGGGGAAAAGCATTTTTGGTAAGATGTAAGGCAGTTTCCCTTTGGAGGGGTAGGGGATTGCCATGTTATCAGAGACAGGGTGAAGCTCTGGAGTGGGAAACTGTAGAATACTTCTAGTTAACAACTTTTTAAGGCATCTATGTGTCATTCATCAGGCTTGCTTTTTGTCTGTCTGAAAACAGAATAAACAAAGGAGATGGTCTGCTACACAGTTCTTTGCAGTGAAGTAGGTAATCTTGGTTCACTGAGCAGAATATAAAACCAAGTCATTCTCGATGGCCTATGCCATAATGAATGCTTGATTTTGAATGTCTGAGGAGTACATGCACCCGCAGCTTCCATGGCCAAAGAGGCTGAGAAAAATGTTTTAAGGGAGGAAGTCTTGATGGCATGTCAAGGTAGGCATTTATAGACTGTCATGACAAAAAGCCCTGTGTGAGAACAAATAAATATGTGAGCTTGTTTTTTCAGTTTATAAAGCTGTTTGCCAGGGATTGTAAAAATGGGAGCAGTAATTAGGATCAGTATGCAAATGCCATTGAAACGCTACACAATTATTCCTTACCTCACCTACAGCTTTCTTTTCCATTTTTCTTCCTCCTCTAGCACATTTCAGCCAAAACACAACCCACACCAAATTGGCCCTGCAGCATCAAAGCTGACAAATCTGAAC